ACCAGCGGAAGCGGAAGAGACGGTCACGAGAGGACGACGAAGACGATGACTCCGGAGTACCAACTGAATTTCCCCCAGAGTACGAAGAGAACTGCCTTCTTCAGCAGCATGGCCGTAGCAAAAGTGAACGCTCGGATCTTGAGGATGACGACGAAGATCGGAATGATGAAGAGCAAGTCTTCGTAGAGCCGGAGGGGAAAGCCGGAGGAGACGATGCAGACGAAGATGTAGTTAACGTTGAAGATGAGAATGATGAGAGGACTATTCCACCCCCAGGTGATCAAGATGATTCTGGGAATGCAAACAGCGAAGATGAGTCACAAAATCATGGAGGAACTACAGAAGTCTCCCAGAACACTGAAGAACCAGATGGTCATGAGAAAAATCTTTCTGATGACAGTCACAGCGAGAAAGGACTAGATGACACGAGTAATGGTAACACTAATGGTTCCAAAAATGCAGAAGAAATATCTGGAACGAATTCTCCCGCTGTTCAAGATGGAAAAACATCACCCAAGTTTTCCACGACTACCCTAGAGCCGACATCGTCATCGTATTCCTCAAAAGCCTCTCAAAAACCCCAGACGATCCAGTCCCTTCCAAAAACCACAGCAGGTGATTACGGGGATATTGAGTACGTCACGGATGACACCCTTGAGCCCTCTGACGACTACCCAGATGACGACGAAGGTATGGCCGAAGACAATTGGCAGGATTACACCGATCAACCTGAAAGCAAAGGTGACATGAAAAAACGGGAGGGAAAACTCCGGAGCTCTCTGCGATCCCTAATCAACACCAAGAAAATGCTCATGGATAAAAAAAAATCCTTATTGCGGCGTGAAAACATGTTAAAGCAGAAGGAGAAGATCCTCAAGCAGTCGGAGGCCGGTCTTGAGCACTTGAAAGCGAAGAGATCAAGACGAAAGACGAGGAAAACTCGCAAACAGGTGACATCATGGCCGACAGAGGGTACCGGCAGGTATCACCTGGGAGGCTACGACAAGTGGCAGTCGGGACTTCTTGAAGACATACCCCAGGAATTTCAGAAGAACAGACAAGCCTTCACAGTTAATGTTCTCCGATTGGACTATGACGAGGAAGAGGAGAACCACAAGCTAAGGTGTGATGAGCCTGATAAGAACGATCTCATTATCAACCAGGGACTGGTGACCAGAAAGATTGAGGAGACAACGTTGAAGAGGACTTCAGGGAATCTTGAATCCACGACCAAAGAGTACAAGCTCTACTATGATCCGAATGCCGAGGCGGAAGTGGTCGCTGATGAGAAATCGTTCGATGTTCATGTGGCAGATGGAGAACTAGGGAAACGAAGGAAGGAATCCAAGAGGACCACCAGGAGTCGAAATCCACCTGGTACAGAGTGGCCGACGGAGATGACGACGGTATATCATGTGGGCGGGACAAAATTTTGGGACAAAGAACGGACTGCTACTCCCGACAACGGGAATTACAGACGAAGGAATGTCAGAGGCTTGAGTTACTACGAAAACGATGAAGAGGGTGAGGCGCTTGAAGACGGAGATGAACGCGAGGAATACGTTGATGACGTCGGAACCACCTGTATGAGATTGCTTCTCAGAAAAGAGGATGCTAAAGTCTGGGAGGAGAAAAGAAGCGCCGAGGAGCAGATCCAAGCACCTGAGGATGTTGAGGATGATTATGACGAGGATCTGATGCCCCTGAAGCCTAAATTGAGGACCATCAAATCGATAATTCAACTGGCGGCTGAGTCTCCAAAGAATGTTGATGAAAACGATAGGAAAGTTCGGAGATCTGACGACGTGGGTCTCCAGGTAGATTCACCTAAGCTGGTGACTCCTCCGGGACATCAGGAAGCTACGAAACATGAGGAGAAATATCTTCAGCCTAAAGAGCCTGACCAGGACGCCAGAAATCTACCGGTGCTAATCAAAGTGAACAACACGAAAGTGATCAGAATGGCCAATTTTGATCGCCCACCGAAGGAACTCTACGTCATGTACAGATGTGGACCTCCGGAGATAGTCGCCGTGTTCGATCCAAAAGCAGAGGGTTCTAATAGAGAAAAGTTTGAAGACTCCTTTGTGACGCCATCAACCGCGGCCAATCATATCAAGAACAAAGAAAATTATGAGCCAAAATACAAAACAATTTTTCCCTTCAATCGCGCCCAAATTTCTGAAGTTACTGCCGCCCCGATTGAGGCGCATGTTCACGGAGAGCTGAATCCCTCCGCGAACTTATTCAAAAGAAACTCGAGGAAGAAAAAGAAAAGGAGAAAAGGAAAGAGAAAGGGACACAAACGGCGGAGGAAACCCCGCAAATATTGGAGGAGAAGGATCTTCAGTCTACCTGATGATCTGCTCCATGATAACCCTCTGAACACTTCGGAACAAGCATCTCGATTCCAAACCCATCACGAGGGGTTTGGAAGGTCCTTGCTATCCTTGAAGCACTCCAAAAGAAGAGCAAAAGTTTTGAAGCACCACAAGAAGCCTCACCCCCCCAGAAAGCCGAAGCCGAAGAGGCAGCAAGCCAAGAAAGTCCACAAGCGAGAGACGCTTCCCTCGGAGAATATTCCTAGAACCCCTGGACACTTTCAAAACACGCCTCAGCTGATGAACAAAGTCCTCAGGATCATCAAGACCCCGGATGAAGACCTTCACCACAAGTCGAAAAGCCCTAGAAGCATCCTCGACAAGATGAAGCAGGTCATCAACAATGTCATCGGCAACGACAGCTCGAGCATTCCTGAGCCACGTGTCAATATCAACCCAGATGAGGAGGAGGTGAATGACGGCTACACCGAGATTGTCCACCAGTCAGCGGCCAGGTTCATGCCGACAGAAGACGTCCCACCGACCCATCATCATGGCGGTCGAAGACGCCACAGGAAGAAACATCGGCATCATCAGGAGGCTCATTCCCCACATCATCGTCCGCACGCTTCTCACCACCACCATCAACGCCATCACGACCACAAGCTCAATCACCCCCAGAAAACCCACTCGAAATCTCATCACACAAGTCACGCACATCTTTCAAGAGAGACGGCTCATGCTCAACCCTCGGAAACCAAAAGAGCTGATGTCCCTCACGTTAACCATAAGTCATCAAGATCCCCCGTTAAACCTAAACTGTTATCATCCCGGAAGATCCCCGTCATTAAACACAAACCATCATCCCCGAAGCTCTCCATTACCAAACATAAGCCGTCATCACTTCCGAATGCGCTCAAACCTTTGGAGATCGCTCAGAACGACCAAAAACCTCTGAACATCAGTAGCATAATTCCAACGGTGAAAAATTTGGTGGAGAATCAGAATCTAGGGAGTTTGGAGAAGATAATTGTTTACGTGGATAAGACGGAGGGATTGAGGAAGAAGAAACGCACAACTGACAATTTTCCCGTCAAGATGAGACCCGAACATGAGAAGCAGAAGAGAGGTGCGAAGAGGTCAAAATCATTGAACAAGTCGAATCTGGAGGAAGTCTCCTTCGATGGTGAGAGTCTGGACGAGATGATCTCCCACGTGGCTGATAAAATTCTAACCTCAGTATCTGGATCATCTCTTCATGATCTAGATCCTCATCTATCCGTCAAGGTCATCCAGGAGGTGCCAGATGGCGCGGGAGAGCCGCACGAGGAGACGAAATCCGAGTTCTCGATCAACTTATTGGATTCTAACCTGAAAAAGCCGGAGATATCGCGGAAGGAGAAGAAATCAAGATCAAAGAAGACATCTTCCTCGAATCGATTGACTTCAGGCTCCAGCAGACGGAAGATGAATCTGAGAGGGGCTCCAGGGAAGAAGCGAAACCTCTGGAAGAGTAAAATCAAGAGGGAGAACATTGTTGAGGAGATCAGGAAGAAATTGGAGGGGGAGTTGAGGAAGAAGTTGAGTAGAACGAGAAGAAGAGTGCCGGTGGAGAGTACGGAGGACTCGGAGAAGCCCCTGCCCCATCATCTAGATGATTTGGACGAGAAGATCCGGATTCTCTACGCGATGCATCACAAGAAGGAGGCGAAGGGCGGAGGGGACAATAAGAAGAAGAGGGGACAGAAGAATCACAAAAGATCGAAGAGGGAAGACGACTGGAGGCTGGACTACCTCGAGTCCAATATTTTTGCCACTGAGAATGACAAAAAATCGTTGAGGGGTCTGATAGAGCAGATCATCAATCTCCAGAAGAACGTCAACACAACCCTGCAGATCATCAGGCGACAACTGGACGAGTCCTCCAATATTATCGCTCGCAATCTGACACGAAGAATGATCCCAGACTCGTCTTCTTCAGGAGAAATCGATCAGCAATCGAATAAAAAATCTAAGAAACAAAATCCAAAGAAAAATAAGGGGAAGAAGAAATCCCCCAAGACCAAGCCGACGAAGAAACCCACGCCCAAGCCGGAGAAGAAAGCTGTCAAGCCGAAAAACAAGAAGCACCAGAAATCGAAGGCCAAGAGTTCAAAAAAAAAACTTGAAATGAGTTACGGCGACGAGCAGGTTGACAAAATCGGTAACGAGATTCAGGAGATTTTGAAGGAGGAGGGGGAGGGAAAAATTTCGAATAAAAAAAAGAGAACGAATCGGCGGAAAACTCGAACGCTGAAGGCATTCGGTGGGGACGACTCAGATACCCTTAAAATTGGTCGGCACCTTTGTTCGAAGAATATCCATGATCGGCAAAAGAAATCGGCCGCAAAAAAGTCTAAAAAACCTAAATCATCTTCTAGAAAAAAAAAATTGACTCGGAAAAAAAAATCTAATGCCAAAAAATCGAGATTAGCATCGAAGAAGACGACTAGAAAGGCTAAACTGATCGTTGGAAATCAAAATAAAAAAATCCGACAGGCGGTGCATGAGAATTCATCCCGAAGCAATCACGTATCGGACAGAAATGCGTCATTGACCAGTCATTTCCGGTCAAATCGTTCTGAAAATTGTGAGGGATGTCTCTGTGACCTTGGGAATGTTGTCTCGAACCTTCGGAAGATGCTTCTGATGAGGAATGATCTCCTGGATCGAATATCGACGTATACCTGCCAGAAATTCGTCGGAATCGGTGATGAGTTAATTCTGACGTCTTCTGGAGTCCTTGGAGATGTTCTTCCGAGGTCTCGCAGGCAGATCGCTGAAGCGAGGGGCCTAAAGTACATCAGACCTGGGGACCTAGAGGATCTACTTGAAGGCGACGAGGTCAGGGGCCATGGTAAGGGCTAATTCTGGGCCTGAGAGACATTAAATTGATTTTGTTGCCTTCCGACAGAACATGAGATCCTGTCCTTTCCCGGATCAGACCTGAATATTCCCTGCAATCATGAGGGCAAGGAAATTACCTGGGTCATGAGCATTAGCCGACCTAATTATACGTGGACAAGAGTCGATAGTTCTCCTATTTCTGGTAATTGAGAATTATTCTCATTCTCTGAGCAGCTCGAGCCATGCGCAAACATCATGTCTTGTGTTTCCCATGAAATATTGCACTCGACATATCTGAGATTCGAAGGTAATTTCGTGACGAATGAAATGATTTTTAATTCATGTCTGTACAATTTATAATCGTCGAATCGTTGACGCGTAAGTCAGCCGCTCAAAAACTTGAGTTTCTGAGCGAGCGCGGACCGGGCGGGGCGCTTCTGTCGACAAACGCCCATATCACGAGAACTATAAGTCGTAGCGTCGGGAGTAAAAAATCATTTTGTTTGACATGAAATTCCGCACATTTCGTATGTCCACGAATTCTCAATAGTTATTTAAATATGAAAAAAAACTGATCCCATTTTTTCCCATCTGTCATATTCAATTTTTGCGTTCTCTCATTCTCAACTCTTTGGACGTGGATAGCGCCATCTGTCGAAATTCTAGAAAATTCTAGATTTTTCAAGAAAATTTTCCGGCTTTACAGAACAATTGTGAAAATTATCGGATTTCCTATAACATCACACATTTTCCAAAAAAAAATATATTCAGTTCACAAGACACGGACACGTCGACGCAGCCGCTTGTAATTTTTCTCATCGTTTATTTCTATTTAATATATTTGTCAATCGATTGTGAATGGACGATGCAGGAACTATTCGGAAAAACGGAAACCTAGAATTATACGATGTTGATGCAAAAGACGCTGGGAATTACTCTTGTATCGTGACGTACGTCGACCCAGACAACGAGGAGCTCGTGGAGAATATTTACCAACACAGTATCCAAATTGTGACCCTTCCTCGTTATTCCCTACGAGGTGGAAACCGTTACAAAATGGATATCTGTGAAGATCCAGAGCTCGACATTTTGTCCGTCTATTTACCCTCTAAACTCAACGAAGTCCTCTGTAAGAACTCCATTTGCGATGCGTTCATCTTCGCCCCCCACTGTCACAGTCATCAAGTGAGCGAAAAAATGAGTTCGCCGAAAATGATGAAAAAGGAAAGATGGAGCAAAGTATCAAATTAATCCCAACAATTTTTTATTTTGCTTCAATTCCCCTAATTTAAAAAATGAATTAAAAATTTCAAAGTCCTCTTTAGGTGTCCATAAGAGTGCTCGTCGTCCCTACAAATCCCTCAAAATTATTCCCTATTAGTTCATCCCAATGTGGCTTGAGATGTCGCAAAGCTGTGCAGGACAAACTCGCTTTTCTACTGACCCAGAATCTACGAATTATTCTAAGAAAAACGAGTGAGTTCATGTGGCTGCGTGTCAGGGAGATTCTCAGACGATTTTCTCTATAGAAAACTTTAACCACAGTTGTTTTTAGGTTGCCGAATCGTGCCCAGGACAGGCTCGTACCAATTGAGAATAGATTTGTGGATTTTGGAGGTGGAAGAGGCAGAAGAGCTTATGAACGGACCAAAAGAAGGGACAGGGGTGATGCTGATGGTGAAGTTGGACTTCTTGTTGGGTGTCCTGCGGGATATGGTCTTGATAACAGTCATTGTGGTATTAATAATTTTTTCGTAATTTTGATTATGTGACCTATGAATTTCATATGATCTTCATTGGTCATTCACATGACCTTCACGTGACCTTATGATCCTCTTATGACCTTCATATGAACCTCAAATAAACTTATGACATCCAGACTAAGATTACATGACCATATGATCCCTTTATGATCCTCATCCGGCCTCCATGTAACACTCAAATGACCTTGTCATCCTCTTCTGGCCTTCATATGAACTTCATATGACCCTCAAATGACCGTATGATCCCCTTTCATAACCTTCATCCTGCTTTCATATGACCTAATGATCCTTTTATAACTTTTCTTTGAAAATTATACGATTTTATCATTTTCTTATGACCTTAAGATCCTCTTACGACTTTTTTCAGAACCTCAAATGACCTAATGATCCTTTTATGACCTTCTTGGGAACCTTCTACGATTTTATGACCTTATGACGTTTATATGGCCTCCATACGACCCTCAAAGGACCTCACGATTCTCTTATGACCTTCATATGACTCTCACATGACCTTATGATCCCATTTTATGACCTAATAATCCTTTTATGACCTTATGAACCTTATATGATTTTATTACCTCCTAATGACCATTATATATCCTCCATACGACCTTCAAAAGACCTTACGATCCTCTTATGGCCTTCATATGATCCTCAAATGACCTTATGATCCCATTTTATGACCTAATGATATTTGTATGACCTTCTTATGAACCTTCTATAATTTTATGACCTTATGACGCGTATACCACCTCCGTGCGATCCTCAAAGGACCTTATGATCCTCTGATGTCCTCCAAAAGAACCTCATTTGACCTCATGATCCCCTTATGACCCCCATACAGCCTTCATATGACCTCCCTATGACCTTATGATCCCCATATGACTCATATGACCTCCTCACGACCCGCATAATTTTCCTGGCCCTTATTAAAAATAAACGATTTCGAATGTTTCTTCCCATTTTAGTTCCTTGCTCCCCTCATTACCACAGTCAAGACCTATCGGCGAGGTGCAAGAGGTGTCCTCTGGGGACCCATCAGCCTAGCACTGGTTCCAGGGTGTGCAAATCTTGCACGAATCCTTTTGTAGATGGATGCTATGATATGGTAAATAATAGATGACAATGAACGCATTCGAAAAAATTTCATAGAAAAATCTATCAAATTTCCTAAAAAATTCTATTGGATTTCTACTGAATTTCATTGAAAATTCTACTTTCCAACGTTTTGTCACCGTTTTTCGCGGCATAGCTTAGCTTATCATCTGATGAACATGATAAAATAATATATGAAAATAAAAATATTAAAAAAAAATTAATTATGTGTAAAAAAAATTCAAAGGTCTAAAACTTCCTGTCGTCTTCCTTTATCGTGTCGGATCTCATTGGAATTTTGAAATGGCATTCTTTATCCCTCAAAATTCTAGCTCTGGACGACATCATCAGTCCTCCTGGCAGTCCTCGCTTCCCTCCTCGCAGTGATCCTAGTCTGTCTGATAGTTCTCTGGACCATTTGCTGTGGAAAACCTCGGAAGCCCGAGGATTCCTTGAAACAAGAGACAGGAGACTCCATCAAACAGCCCCTGATTCCACCCCTGGACAGCCAATCAGATCTCGAGGAGCTGATCTGGGAGAGGCCCAAGAAGAAGAAGAAAAAGAAATTGATGAAACGATTCCTGAAGGCGAAGGAGGAGGAACAGCCCCTCGTCTACGGAATCAATCTCTTGCCGAGGAAGAAAAATGAGAGGGAGCGGGAGAGGGTCAAGACAATTCCCGTTTGCTGCATCGACTCGTACAGATCCCATGGGGGCCACTGTCCCGAGTGCAAACATCCTTACGTGACTAATCATGGAACTAGAAGGGCCCATGGGAGGCCACCAGTGCCTTTTCCTGATTTCGATAGATGACACGAAATTAATCGAGAGTTGAAGAAAAAATATTTCTCAGTGAGAAAAATCTGTGAATGACTCTCAGAATTTTAATCATGATGTTTGACATTCTGAAGGAAATTGCGACGTTTCACATATCTTTGGGTATTTTTAGAGTAGTTTTTACGTGAAGGAAAATATTTCAAGTGGAAGTGGATCCGGGGGGGGCTCGAGGAGTTTATTGAGGATTATTTTATAGGCTAGAATTTTCGTTTAAAATATTTTTTATGTAGGTGTTCAGTGGATGAGGTACCGAGGGGACTATTTTTATGAAATTGTGGCAATGTACTTTTTGTAAGAATATTAGGAGATAGTGACATTTTTTTATTGAATAAAGAGATCGAGATTTATTATTTTTGAGAGTTTATGGTTGTCCCTGTGACACTGTTTTATTTAGTATCTAGGTATATACATGGTAAGGGAATTTGCTGATCTAAGGGCACGTTCTTATGGACTACTCCAGTGGGGCTCACCTGGAAGAAAAGAGAAAAGTGACTGGAGATTATTTAATAGATTTGGTGAGAATAAATTAGGGACAAGAATGATAACGAATAAAATTATTGTGATAAAAAAAATTGAAAATACTATTTTATTCGTAATTTTTCACTCGGAGAGGCTAGTTCATTGGAAATATTTTGAATGAAGATTTAAATCGTCAAGAAAAAATTGTAGATTTCAGAAAAATCTACTTCGAATCAATAAAAATAAATTGCTCCCTTGAGGTCGAAACAAATGATTGAAAAAATAATGAAAAAAAATTCTTGTATTAATTCTCCTAAAATTTTAACAAAAACACTAATAAAAATAACGTAATTTTATATTCCTCCATAAGAATCTTCATTCGTAATATTCTAATGTAAAAAATGTCGATTTAGTTATTATAAATTGAGGATAAAAATGATTCCGAATAAAATTTTTGTCATGAAAAAACTGAAAATACTAGCTCATCATGAATATTTAAAATAAAGATTCAAATCGTCAAGAAACGATTGTAGATTTCAGAAAAATCTGCTCCAAATCAAGAAAAAAAATTAAAAATTAAAAAATTTATAAAAAATACACAAATAACTTCCCGTGTGAAAATATTTATTCGTAATATTGAAATGTAAAAAATATCGAACTTACAAATTACTTAAGCAGTTGGTGGCGAACGACGAGGAAAGGTGTAGCAAATGCACTCCCAAAGTACAAGATGAAGTACACCGTCAACTTGTACCTGTTTCCAAGTGTGAAGGGCAGATTCTAAAACACAAAAATCCAAATAAAAAACAATCACCTCCAATTAACAATAAAAAAATTGTTCCCAAATTGTTTAACTTCGCAAATCGACAACGAAAAATGGGTTATGCAACAGAGAATTCTCCGGGACACTCACATGTCCGGGTTTCGCTCCGACTTCCGGGTTTCCTGACCTGCGAAGGGCACTGGTGGCGAATCTCCTCACCAATTGTTGTGACAGCATTTTTAAAATTCAATTTTTCCGAATGAATCAATTGTTCCTTCAAAAATACGTTCGACACTGTCGGAATAAAATGCGACGATCGATCGAAGATGGCGTCGACAAAACCTAGGGAATTATCTGGTAACCCTAGCACGACCTGGCGATTAAATAGCATTCTACTTCACCATCAACAACGAGAGGAATTTGTCCTACCGATCGTCAATCGAGGACGTGAAAAGAAATTTCTACCTTATCTAGTGCTGATGAAAATATCTGGAATTTCCAATAAAATTAAATTCAATTTTTTTTTAGAACATTCTTTTATTTTGATTTTTAGAAAATTATAACAATTATACCGGGATTTATTGCTGCATTTTAACCAGGGTTGGCCATCTGTCGATAACCGCAGTTTTTTACATGAAATTGTAAAAACCCGTAATTTGCGTAATAAATTTAAACAATATAAAAAAACCGTCGAGGTAATTTACATAAATTACGTCGATAAAAAACGGTGCAATTTATCAACATAATTTACATGCGCATCCGTGATTTTAATGCATGGTATTATTATTTATAAAATTGTTTAATATTATTATTTATAACATATTCTTTTTTTTCAAACGAAAAAAACTATAGACTTATTAATTGAAAAAAATTGTGTAATAGTAATTCATACAATTACATGACATCACGAAAAATTGTTATATTTATTAATGAAAAAATCCATGACAATAAAACGCAAAATAATCACAAATTCCCCAAGAATTCAATAAGATCTAGGGGATTATCGGGCAACCCTAGCAAGACCTATCGATAAAATATCAATTCACCTTACCATCAACAGCTAGAGAAATTTGTGTTACTGATCGTCAAACTAGAAATTGGTATAAAATTCTTTTTTACCTAGTGCTGACAAAATATCATATTTTGAATTTTCAAATAAAATTAAATGAATTTTTCTTTTCTGCAAACAAAAAATTTTTTTATTTCAATTTTTATAAAATTATAACAATAATATACTGAGTTATTGCTGCAATTTAATACACGATATAATTACTCATAAAATTGTTTTTATAATAATAATCATAATAATTATTATTATTATTATCATTATCATTATTATTATTTATAACATATTCCTTTATTTTTCAAATGAAAAAAATGGTATAGACGTTTTTGATAAAAAAAAATTGTGTAACAATAATTCGTATAATCAGATGATATCGTGAAAAATGGTCATATTTGTTAACAAAAAAAATCCATAACAATAAACCGCAAAATAATAAAAGATTCCCGAAGAATTCATTAGTATTAGTTGCACTAGTGAACGTCCGTGGTACTGACGTAATCTAAATCGATTTACAGCCCGTAGCTGTCGCCCACAGTTATCGTAAGTGCAAAGTGAGGTATATCCGAACGCTGGAGTTCCGTTACTCTGGTTGTTCCCGTGGCCACCCACGAGGACCATAGGAAATGAAGCTAAAAACAGAGAAAGAAAAAAGTGGATGAGAAAGTGTTTGACGGGGCGGAGAGGGAGGGGGGGCGAGCGTTGGAAAAAGAGAGAGAGGGAGAGAAAACGATATAGTTGGGGTGAAAAGCCTGGTCTCACAGTTGCGGAAACGTAAAAGTCCTCCACCTCCGTTGTGGCACTTGAAAAGTGACGGAAAAAGGACGAAACTGTAGAACTAGAGGGCGCACTTTTCTCTAAAAGTAACGAACACCGAAGAAAGCATAAAGAGAGGAAAAAAAAGGTGTAAAATTTCGCCCGTCGACTTTTATTTGAAATTCTCCCGAGAAAAAAAAATCATATTTCAGGAGTCGAGGGATAAGGATCTGGGGTTCAGCAAGTTCACTGACACGTGAACCTCCAAAATGCAAATTAGCGAAGTGGACAATGTCTCTCTCACGGCTTGACGTGAACAGTTTTCCATTTCTGCAATTTTTTCCTCCGTGATTTCCACCCCTTCCCCTCCACATTTTCCATCACGCCTGTCAGAATTGTATATATATAATTTTTTTTTTCATATTTTATTTTTCACAGCGGCTATTGCGTCACAGAAATGCCACTGGGCTGATTCTACATTTATGTATTCTATTATGCTGCAACCCGTCCAAACGATTCAAGCGCGTTCCTTCCCAATGTTATTGCTGGGTTGAAGATTTTACCATAACAATGAAACAAGAAACTGTGGTCATTGTTACATCGGAAAATATGCTTTGCGAGTGAAAAGAATAATGAAGGTGAAAAAAGATTTTAATGTCTAGCTTCAACGGTATTATGAGGAAAATTATCAATTTTTCATTTTCTGAAAGGATTGAGAAACATTCGAAATGAGAATCTTGTGCATACTTATAAGCAGAGTTGGGCAAGTAGAGTAACACCAGTATTTTATCAAGTTTTCTACATGTAAAAAAACAAGTAATTTACCAAGGAGGTTTTAGAGCTGTTCTGGCGCGAGAACAACCCCGGCGACAGGGTTGCAAGGGCCATGCCTTACAACGGTCAAACATCGCAATGGTTATACCTTGCTGAGGGTCAAACGTTGTGACGGTTAAACAACAGAGGTAGGCAGACGACAATCTCAAAGGACAAAGGTCAGAAACTACAATCTCAACGGATGAAATTATTTTTTGTATTTATGACCGTCGCAAGTTATATATTTTTTGTGCCACATGACCGCCATTTTGTCGGCACATGACGCAGTCTGAAAAAAACGGTGATTGTGCATTTCTTCCAATTCCAAATTACCAACGCATTAGTCTCCGAGATATAGTGATGCCGCGAGCCATTTCACGAGTACACGGAGAGAAATTTTTGATAAAAATTATCCTACCGTTCTATAAAAGTGTATTATGAGTCATCGTTTCCTCATTTCTATCTCGAAATTTAGTAAAAATTAATATATGATGATCAAATTTTATTCTACGTTAGAGAAATTTTATCCTGATAAAAAGAAAAATTACCGTGCCGGTAGAGTAAAAATTACTGTACCGGTAGGGTAAAATTTACCAACCGTTCTAGAATTTTCGTTGTTATCTACATAAAAATTATTGGACTGGAAGGGTAAAATTTATTATGCGTCAGGATAAAATTTCTTAGTGATGCCGCGAGAGACTTTACGAGACAATATGTTGGGGAGATGGTCTTGGTCTCAAATTTTCCGTATTTTTAATGTAGAATCTTGGTTTATGTCTCGATTTGTCTCGTCTCGATTTTCTACATAAAAAAACGTGAAAAACTGGAAACCAAGGTGAGATAAATTGACTCGGTGTCATCACGAAAGGAGTCGATACTGCGCATTTTGAGACTGAGACGAGACCAAAAATTTCTGCGTTCACTGCGACCGAGACAATCCCTCCAAAGTATTGTCTCGTAAAGTCTCTCGCGCCATCACCATTCACGAGACAATACTTTGGAGGGGTTGTCTCAGTCTCAGTGAACACGGAAATTTCGGTCTCTCAGTCTTGAAATGCGCAGTATCGACTTCTCCTGTGATGACTCTGAGTCAATTTATCTCATCTTGGTTTCCAGTTCTTCGCGTTTTTTATATGTAGAAAACCGAGATGAGACGACTGAGACAAAAAACGAGATTTTACATTGAAAAAAACACGAAAAAACTTGAGACCGAGATGAGATAAATTGACTCGGACTCATCACGAGAGGCGTCGCTACTGCCTATTTCGACACTGAGACGAGGGCAAAGATTATCATGTTCACTGAGACCGAGATCATCTCTCCAAAGTCTTGTCTCGTAAAGTGTCTGGCAGCATCACTACTGAGATATTATTCTCCGTGTCACCATTTTGAAAAATTGATAATCCCCCACCTCCCAATCTCCATAACAACGAATATTATCAAACTTTCAATCAAAACTTGGAACAAAACTTTCCAATATCCCAGCAAGATTATTCATTAATCCCCCATAATCGATGAAGAGAAAATTACAGTTGAAAGTTTCAGGTTAGTCTCCTTGTAATACTTTCATCGTCCATTTTATCCCGGAAGACAGTCCTACCAACTTTGCCCACCGATTGCCGAATGAGCTCCTTAAATCCGCTTGAATTACTTCAATAACCTAAAAAGCCTTCAACCAATAGATGTATTATTCCCGATTCATCTTAAAAAGTGGAGGAGGGAAAAGGACGCTGGAGGAAGAGAAGATGGCGTGGATGATGAAGGGCGCTGGGCATTCGATTTTCCTATCACCAATTGTCAACTTGAAACTGCCATTACTAATTTATAGATGAAAAAGGCACTTTGCAAAATTTAACGATTAAATTTCCTCCCAGGTTAAATTTATCTTCATAGCCTTTCTACGACTGTACTTCTAACTGTTCTGTGATCGTTCCCCATTAAAGCATTTCAACAATTAATTCATCTTCACCCATTCCGCCCCCTCGTCCCGCGGCCGCTCTTAACCAAGTATCACTGTCTCGCTCTATCCCCCTCAGCCATTCTCGCTTTCGCAGTACGTAATTAACGATGCCATCCATAAATTGGAATTTATTCGAGTATACGGGCGGGAGGGGGGTTTTGTTCACGTATAACCACAAAAACCGCAGTTTCAACAAATTTCATGTCTTTTTCACAGTTTAATTAAAATTACGAGAATGAGTCTGTTCGAGGTCAGAGAGGATGGAGATGTGACGAGGTAAAATGAATGCTATTGTTGAGGGGGTGAAATTAAATAATAAAAAAATTTCCTTGGTGGAATTGAAATAAATGTTTAGAGGTATGGTTGAATTAATTGGGGGCATGATGTCCAGAGATGGTTCCGGAGTTCGCGTTTTGAAAAAATTGATATTTTGGAAAATTATTTTATAAATGAAAACAAAACAGGTGGGAAATTGATCTTTTATTGCATGTAGTATAGTTATTTTTGCTAATACATTAGCAATATGCTTTCGAAATTAATTGTTCACTTCATTTTATTAAATTGAATGTGATCACTTTTTAACTAACTTTGTCAGATTTTCAACTTAGTTAAACGTTATCATCATTATCCTTATTATGCTTCCCCTCAGCCCTTCGATAAAACGTTAATGGAAAAATTTTATTTATACATACTTGAATGAATTTGAAACATCACATTTGAAGAAACCATCAAAAAGTTCCCTTTCAGGG